AAATAATATATTATATTGTTTATATAACTTATATTATATAAATATATAATGTTCATATTAGTATATTACTAATATAGTATATTAATATATTATTATTATTAATTTATTTTATATTATAATTTATAAAATTTAATTCTTTAAAATATCATATTTTTTTATTTATAATTATTTTAAATTATTTTATATTTCGAACAATAGCGATTCAAATATGAACGAACGCATCACTGTTTGTGTTTGGTTCGTTTAACTAATCAAAAGGAAAAAAATATGTTCACGTTCGTTTCGTTTACTTATCGAAGGAATCGAACAAAAACTCATTGACGATCCGATCATGAACCGTTCGCGAACAATGAGCCTTTTTGACAGCCCTATTAAGAGCACAACAATGTGAAAGAAACCCCCAATAATTGAATTTCTAGCACCAAGAATTGAAGCGAGAAGTTCCAACCAAATTCAAATTAATTATAGAGAAAAGCCACTGTATAAGCTCATATAATCATCATTACGAATCATTAACTTATTGTTAATCATTAAAAATAAATTAAGAAAAAAACATTAGAATCCTTGGAGATAAAAATGAATGTGATGCGTCAATCCACTTGGGGCCCATTTGACATTTCTTTATTTTATTTTTATTTTTTTCATTTGTATTTTATTTTTAAAAATATATTTGGATATTATACATTTTATGTATTTTTATTTTTTTTTATTTTAAAACCAAGTTAAAAACACTCAAAACAATTATTAAATATTTTAAATGTTTTTAAATAACTATTATAATCAAATTTAATTTATTTTAAATTAGAACATAAATATTTAAAAATAAAAAATAATAATAATAAAATACCTAGAAAGAGAGTTTTTTTTTTTGTTTTTTTCTAACCTAGAAAGAGAGTGAAATGACCAAGAGTGATGCCGCACGTGCGGCACGGGAGGTTCACACGGGGAATGCCACTGGGCCGCTGGGCGTGAGTACCCATAACTCTAGTCAACCTGCTCCAGCGTCAGAAAAGATTTATGGCGCGGAGCACGACACTATTAAAAGGCAGCCGGTTTTCCGTAGGCTAAGTCACTTCTATGTCCATCAATTATTATTTATTTTTCATCTTTATTTTTCCTCCTTCTTTCCTCCTTTTTATTGAACATGAACATTTAAGTGAATATAGATTTTATATATATATATATGTCCAGCTAAATGCATGTGGGCCAAATGTATAGTTTTCAATTAAGTTATACTATGGAAACCCAACTCATGGCTGGTAAATGTGTGTTTTGATGGCAGCCACATTTGGGCCAAGTAAATTAATTTTGTGGCTAAATTTTCACTATAGGAATTTTGTTTATTACTGACGGTAAAAAATTATAGTTAAATTAATTACCTACAGTCAGTCAACGGTTTATTTGATGTAGCAAAAGCACTTGTTAGCAATATAATTACCTATTGATTTACTGAAGATTCTTTTAACATGGACAGTTATCCAATGAATATTAACTATCGTTGTTGGTTCAAACCAAACTGTGTTTAAGCGTCGGTAATATAAACAATGTATATGTTCGTTGTAAAAGCGTTGCACATCTGTCGGAAAAGTGTTGCGCTTTCGTCGGCAAAGTGTAGCACAATCGTTGATTAGCCGTTGATAGTCCATTGAATAACCGTCGGAACATAATTAGACACTCGTAAAACCGTCGGCAAGCTGTTGCAGACCTGTAGTATCAGAAAAAAAAAAATTGAACTCCACTATTCAGAAGAATTATGAGATGTGCATGAACCACCATGCAACTGCTGGGATCAGCCCTCCTTGAGCCTTTGGTAGACTTCCTAAGAAAATAAGATTTTTGAAATTTAGATACTAAATAAACTTTAATAGTTATTTTAATTTTATACTAATTAATCTAGTGAATTACCCGTATCTCTTGGGATTTGTTGTCTACCTAGAACTGATCAGATAGTTGTTGACCTCAATTTACGAGGTCTTCATTTCTCCTTCCAAAGAAGATAAGATCTAGTCCTAGGATCTTCTTATTTGACTCTCCTAGAGGACTAGTACTAGGACCACCGCTATTTAGACATTCGAGTTATTTATTGACTCATTGTAGTCTCATATGGGTGATTTCAAATTCTCAATATTTAGTTAAGTGGATTAAAACAAACATGTTGAAACTCAAGTCGAGTTCCCATAGGATTGAGAAAGATCATAAGAAGACCCCTTAGCATGTGACAAGTGTCTCGCTGCCTCCAGCGTTATGCTTGACTTTAACTGTTGCTTGAGCAAGTACTAGTCAACATTTTGCTTGTTGAACGGCTTTGATCGGATTGAAAGATTTCATTTGTCCCATCGTGCGCAAATCATAGTTAAATTAGTACAATCATCGATGAAATTGTTCAGACGACCCCGAATGACGAAACGGACTGCGCAGGCACATCCGAAACATTAATTTTACCTAGGCAAGATGTATACGGTGATATAATTTCATATACTACAAAATAATTGAATGATGATTATGATTATAATAATAACCATAAGCACACACACACTCCCTACTGACACAAGCATGAAGCCCTTCGCCCCTCTCCCTTCTTTGAGTCCCAGTCGAGCCCCTCTCATGCGGGACAATCTCCTTGCAGGGATTCGATCGCTCCCTCGCTCTCTCTGATCGCCACTCCCTCAATTTCCATCACCCACACCTCACTGCTGGTAAGTTTTGTAGTCAGTCCCTCTCTTCTTTAGCTATAAAAATTCCTTTGAGGGAGGAAATTTGGGGTTCTATTTTGGCTGGTTTTGTGCATATAGTTTTTGGGATTGAGGTTTCATGCGCTCAAATTTTTGTTTATCAGGAGGTAAGGATGTATCTCTTCTTTGTTTATGGCCTCTTTCTTTTAATTAACAAACTTATTTAGCTAATAAGGATATTCTTGCTCTATCAACTGCTCTTTGATTAAATTCTTGTTAGATGTATGTCTTCATTTCTTCAATTTAAATGGCTAAATATGTGGTTTTCTTGTTATAAATGATTCAATATATATGTTGGATAATTTGAGGTATGATTTTGATTTAAACTTCTTAATATTGTTTCCTTATTTGCATTGTTATATACCTCTCGGGCAATCTGAGTTTCATATTCATCCATAGACTGCTTATATCATGAGCTACTTTTGCTTATGAATCTCAAGGTGTGTTTTACAAATTATAAAAAAAAAACAAAAAACCCTCTATATACACTTTGATTTTGCTGTTATCATAGCACCTTTGGTGTAATTCTATTTTTATGGCTTAGCATTTTTTCTGCTTAGAAAGGGGAAGAGCATAATTGATGGATCTCTACTGGTTGGTTTGTTTTCCTTTTATTCTTGAGACTTGTCTGATCCTTACTGTTTTGTGCATTTCTTTGTCCTTGGAACTTTTTGGATCATATTTTTTTGTGCTTTTACCATAAGATGTTGTTATTTCATTGGGGAATTGAGCTTAATTGATGGATTTCTGTTGGTTGGTTTGTTTTCCTTGTATTCTTGGGACTTGTTTGATCCTTAGCATTTTGTACATTTCTCTATCCTTTGAGCTTTTTGGATCATAAATTTTTTATGCATTTACATTAAGATGTTGCTATTTCATTGGGGAACTGAGCTTAATTGATGGATTTCTGTTGGTTGGTTTGTTTTCCTTATATTCTTGGGACTTGTTTGATCCTTAGCATTTTGTACATTTCTCTATCCTTTGAGCTTTTTGAATCAGAAAGTTTTTATGCTTTTACATTAAGATGTTGGTATTTCATTGGGGAAGTGAGCTTATTTGATGGATTTCTGTTGGTTGGTTAGTTTTTCTTGTATTCTCGGGACTTGTTCGGTCCTTACTGTTTTGTGCATTTCTCTCTTCTTGGAGCTTTTTGGATCAAACTTTTTTTTTCGTTTCGCATTAAGGTGTTGCTATTTCATTCAGTTGGTCATGCATCTGCTTGTCAGTTGTAAGTCCCCTATGATCTAGGGTTTGATTCTTCTTGAGTGTAGGGTGCGGTACTTGAATTCTTCGGTGCATGAGGGATGGTCGGAGCTCGTATAATAGCCTCTGACCATTCCTTTTAAAAAAAATCA